AGGCTGCTCTTTCCATTCCTCTGTTTTGGAGTCCAGATCAGTGTGAGCTTGGAGTGAGCTCCAAGAACCACTGCCCCTCAGCTTCCCAACAGCCAAGTTAATGGTAGGCTTAATGTTACCTCAAGAAGTGCCAATCTTTAATAATCTTTTAGTATTCTTTCCATCTATCTAAACAGTTTTCATAACTTTACTGTATACCTGCATACATACCTACAGATTCTCATTCTCTCTCTCTTCAGTACCTTTCGTTACCTTATTATTACAGTATTCTTATCATTATTAAAATGTTGTATTGTTTTTAAGATGTTTTAGTGTATATGGAAGTGTCTCCGAAGTGTTTAAACTGCTTTTTATATATGTGATTTGATTTACATACAAATCTGACTTAAGGACATTCTCAGGAATGGAACTCGTCTGTAACCTGAGGACTACCTGTATATCTCAGTGAGATATGCAGTGAGCTGCATCCCCCAAAGAAGGGAGAAGTGCTGGCAACACATCGTATGCTGAGAATCAGCAGAAAAAAATCTCAGGCAGCTTGCCCAGCTTAGATAACTATGAGCAAGAAAAATAGGTGGCAAGATGTCTTTTGGGCAGTTGAACTCACAGGGGACTAGTGGAGTGTTTCTTTTCTTGCAGAATGCTTAGCATTTAGCAGCCACTTGGACAAATGCAGAAAATTGGACAATCTGGTGCCCACCTTATTTCCTCAGTTTCTGATCCATGTGTCATTGCTGCCCCCTAGTGTGGAAGTACCTCCTTGATGTATGAGATCAGTGAAGGAAACACCACAGTCATGGCCAGATGTTGATGTATCTTGAATGAAAACATCAATGGAAGAGGCGACATATTGAGTCTTGGGCAAATGCGAAAGGCAAAGAGAGTAAACGTAGGTGATTCTAAAGTGGTGGAAGCTGGTAATGGGTCTGAAAGAGCTGTTTTTGAGAAAGCTGTTCTCTGTTGCTACAGAAAGAATGTCTGCTTGCAAACAAGGAGGCTGCTGCAAACTGGGATTCCTCCATTTCCACATTCAAAGCGTTTTTCAGAAGCTTGTACACTTTTGTCTAGAGAAAGTAGTCCAAATCAATGGTAAGCCCCTGTGTGCTCCTATGCAAACAGAAATCAGTCCAGAACTTGCTCCTTGCATGCCTGAGGGACGTGTGACAAATATCTGCATAATGGGTGGGAATCTTCCCTGGGCTAAGCTCCCCAGTCTCCTGCAGGCTTCACTACAGCCCTGAGTCCAAGTTCCTGGCCAGGTTTCCCAGCGTTCTGTGGGAGCTGACTGGGAAATGAGCACTGTGCTTGCACAAATGGTGCCCTCTTCTGTGCCAAGCCCAGCAGCTTTGCTTGTGCCCTGCACTGATGCAGGAAGAGGCTGCCTCTTGCACACCCTTCATTCCAGGTGACTCCTGGGCCTTCCCCGTGGCTCAGCTTGCCATTGGAAGGCTGGAGTGAGCATGGGAAGGAGTCCGCAAATGCCACAGTGACCAATTCTGCTGAGCTTGCTCCCAATCCTCCTAACACTTCCTCTTTGATATGAGGGTAAAAGGCCTTGAATTTCCCATGATATTCATCAACCACACCTTGAAGAAAGCCAAAGGTTTGGAATCAATCAGAGGGCAGGGCCAGAATGCAGTTCTCCCATGCCTAGATTTCCTTTCACTCAAGCACTTGCAGAGCTTCCGGTGACTAGGAGGGTTTTTGCCTGATTGCAGATTCACTTCCCCTCACTGTGTCTTTCATACAGTAATAGATGGCTGTGTCTTCAGCTTGCAGGTTGTTCATTTGCAAATAGAGCACACTGTTGGCATCATCCCTGGAGGGGGTGAATCGCCCCTTCACTTTGTCAGAGGTGTAAATGGTGGATGAATAAATCTCTGTCAACCATTCCAGTCCCTTCCCAGGGGCTTGTCTCACCCAGCCCATGTAGTAGCTGCTGAAGGTGAAGCCAGAGGCTTGGCAAGTGAGACGGAGGGACTCTCCAGGCCTTTTCACATCTCCTCCGGACTCCACCAGCTGGACCTCAGATCGAGCACCTGGAACACAAGAAAGTGTAAAAAGACCTGTTGCACACAAGCACCTGGAAAAGGGCATCCCTCATTACTGGAAAGCAGAACGGATACCTCCAAAGACTGCCAAGAACAGCACACACTGAAGCCAAACTCTCATCTTCCCTCCTCCTGCTTTCTGTGCCACTGAGCAGTATTTGCACGTGTCTGAGATGGGGGCCTGTGGGTGTGTTTGGGGCAAGGGAAGCACAGGGCTTCTTTAAAGGGGAAGCTGCCTCTGATTTTACATACCTACCAGGATAAAAGGGCCAGAAGGAGTCCCTGTTTTGGATGACAAAGAGCAATTGATATCCACAGCTCTTGGAAGTCAATTAAAGAAAAAGAGAAACCGCTTGTGGGATCCCCTGTTTACATTTTCATGTTGAATTTACGGGTGCTCTTGGCAATCTTTTCCCCTTGATAAAACACTACTTTTGGGCAGCCTGTATTAGCAAAGTTCTGATAGGAATTCTTCCTCCTAAATGCTGAAGTAAATATTTTTTCCTTGCTCTTCTGCCGCACAACTTGAGACATTCCTTTTTCTTCTTTCTATTTATAATTCCAGTGCAATGTGGAATGGGTGGATTTGGGGTGGCAATAGCTGGGGTGGCACAGTTTAAGCTTTACCAGCTTTTACGTTGTGGCTTCGCAAATGGATGCCCCAAATACTTCCTCTGCACTAAAAAAATATATGGGGGTCATACCCTTCTTGATCTTCACTGAACGTGGCAGGTACCTCAACCCTTAGCTCCATGGAGTCCACTCAGCCTTTCGCTCAGTCCCTTCAGAGAAGCGCCTCGGAGGATGTCCCAGTGAATCCAGTGAGGATTGCTTGTGAGCCTGTGTTCAGGATTCCATTGCCAGGTGGGGGAAGGAGATGGGAAAAGACTGGAGAAAGGGGAAAGATTGAGGCGGCTTCCCAGTCTACTGAGAGACAGGACTAACTTAGGTAGATTCATTAAGGAAAGGATTGGAACTGCTTTCTTGAAATGGCGTCTCCTCCAAGGAAAAGGTAGAGGCAACGAAGATACACTGATTTTCCTGCATGGTCAATCCCATTTTCTGAAAATGCACTTTCTTGAAGTAAAGCTGTGGCTGAAGAACAGAATTTCTCTTTCTCTGAGAATGCCTCTGACATGCCTCCTCTGAAAAGTTGCAATACCTGGTTTTTCCCAGACTTTGTCTCAGCACCTGGAGGGAGTGGCCATGAGATAAGCTCCTCCACTTTTCCTGTCCCCAAGCCCCTAATTCCTCGGCCCCTCTCCCCATTTCTTCTCTTCTACCTTAGAGTCCAGATAAATGTGGACCAGGAGGGAACACCAAAAACAATTCCCATCTCATTCCCTGCAGCCTCTGCCTTCATATCTGCATGGACCACTGTGTTGCATCCCCCAAAGAAGACAGAATAATGGGTAGCACATGGCATGCTAAGAATCTGGGGGGAAAGGGCTCAGGTTGTTCCCCACATGGGAAACCTATGTGCAAAGCTCTCTTGGCTGTTCAGGAGGAGTGGGCTCTCCTAGGCAGTTGAACTCTCATGGGACTGTTTCTTTTCTTGCAGTATGCTAAGGAAAACAGCAGCTCACAGTCAAATGCAGAAACTGGCAAGTTCTGGTTCCCATCTTATTTCCTCCTTCTCTGATCCATGGGTCATTGCTGCCCCTGGGTCAACTTCAAGAATGTCAGTTTGCTAACAAGGACCTTGTCACAAACTGTGGTTCTTCCCCTTCTGCAATCCAAGCCACAGTTCCTTCTTCTAACCCTTTCTTTATTGACCCAAATGTTTGTGTGACATATGGGCAGTATGTGTGAGAATCTGGGGTTGGGTTCCCCTGGCTCAGCTCCCCAGACTCCCACACACTTCACTACAGCTCTGAGTCCAAGTTCCTGCATTCCCAGCACTCTTGTCGAGCTCACTGGTAAGCGCGCCCTGTGCCTACACAAGCGGTGCCTTCTTCTACATCAAGCCCAACAGCCTTTGCTTGTGCCCTGCTCTGATAAAGGGAGAGGCTGCCTCTTGCACACCCTTCATTCCAGGTGACTCCTGGAACTTCCCTATGGCTCAGCTTGCCACTGAAGGCTCAACTGGGCATGGGAACGAGTCCCTGAATTCCACAGTGACGGATTCTGCTGAGCTTGCTCTCAATCCTCCCCACACTTTAATTTTTTATAAGATGGCAAAAGGCCTGGAATTTTACATGTTATTCATCAACCACACCTTGAAGAAAGCCAAAGGTTTGGAATCAATTGGAGGGCAGGGCCAGAATGCAGTTCTCCCATGTCTAGATTTCCTTTCACTCAAGCAGTGACATTTTCATCGACTTGCAGAGCTGCAGATGACTAGGAGGGTTTTTTCCTGCTTGTGGATTCACTTCCTCTAACTGTGTCACTCGCACAGTAATAGATTGCTGTGTCTTCAGCCTGGAGGTTGTTCATTTGCAGATAGAGCAGGCTGTTGGCATCATCCCTGGAGGGCGTGAATCGCCCCTTCACTTTGTCCGAGGTGTAAATGGTGGATGAATATGTGTACGTCAACCATTCCAGTCCCTTCCCAGGGGCTTGTCTCATCCAGCCCATGTAGTAGCTGCTGAAGGTGAAGCCAGAGCCTTTGCAAGTGAGCCGGAGGGACTCGCCAGGCCTTTTCACATCCCCTCC